TTCTGATAATGCAAAATACACTTGCGCCACCAGGACCAATGCTCCAACGTATCTACTTTCTTCTTATAGAATTCCACCTTTTGGTTAACTTCTGCCTTGAACAGATACCATCTTAAAACACTTGGTCCTACATGACATGACTATTTCCTTCTTTCTATTGCAGTTTTGAATTTCTGGTTAAAAATTCTGTTTCTGATACACAGCAGAAGTACAGAGACTCACAGTATAGAAGTACAGTATAGATAATGGGTGCATGTATGTGTGTAAAAGAAAACGTGGCTGGCAGGAGAGCTGCTTGAAAAATTAATTGAGATGAAAAGATTTAAAGATCAAAACAAAACATTTAGCCATTAGAAAAAGGAAAGGAAATAGGAACTGAATGAGTGGCCAAACTAACTTTGTACCATGGAACGAAGAAGTCCCCTCCCAAAGAATTCTGTCCATTTTATTTATTTATTTATTTATTTATTTATTTATTTATTTATTTATTTATTTATTTATTTATTTATTTATTTATTTATACTCTACCTTTCCACTAAAAACGGCACTGAAGGAGGCTCTATCCCTATTTAATTTATTTGCAGGTGAGAATATGAAGTTATTCACATTTCTTTTAAACATTTCTACTGGAAATAGCAAGACAATTTTGGTCCAAAATGGGAAACAGTAAAGATTTGTTCTTGTGTAGGTGGAATAAATATTTATGGGTCTTAGTTCTAACTCAAAGGGTAACACAAGATACTAAATGATTAGTGAGCAAACAAGGGGCTGGGTAGACAGATAGCTCAGTGAGTTGGGTACTTAGCTGCAGAACTAGTGGTCAAGAGTTTGATTCCCCACTATACAGATTACCTGTATAGCCTTGGGCAAGCTGGACAGTCCCAGGGTGCCCCACAGAGGAAGGACATGATAAACTAATTCTGAGTACTTTATGCCTAGAAAACTGTGGAAAGGGTCACTGTAAGTCAGAATTGACTTGAAGCACAAACTGAACAAGGAGGGTGCCAAAGACTGTAATATACCACAGCTCTCTTTATTATATGTATGCAATAAAAAGAAGAAATTGGCAACTTCCAACTTCACATGGAACTTTGTAGAACAATCAAGGATAAAGATATTTAAATTAAAAGGTAATGAATCATTCTAGGAAAATATTGGATAGTCCTATCATGTCTGGTGTATTTATTTTCAGTAGAAGATGCACAGCTGTGCTATATTGTTTCAACACATAATAATGTTTTTAACAGAAATCTTAAATGTTACCTAGTTTATATGAGAAAATGTCAAACAGACAAAATACGTGAATCTTATAGCAATCCTGGAAAGATCTACATATGATTTTTTTTCTGGTACTCATGACATTCAGACTGGTTGCAAATTAGGCCAGGAGACTGTTGTTATCACCCTCTAGATCAGGGGTTCCCAAACTTTGAGTCCAAAAATGTTCTTGGACTAAATGGACTAAAATTCTCAGAAGCGTTCACCAGTAGCTGTGCTGGCCAGGATTTCTGGAAGTTGTAGTCCAAGAATATTTGGGGATCCAATGTTGGGAACCACTGCTCTAGATTCATCCGATGACAGAAACAGATCTATGCATGGCTGCTTGCCTGCCTGAGGCAAATTTGCACGTGAGGTCTTCACCTTTGCCAAATCAAGGTGCATCGTATGTCAGATGGGCCACGTTATTTGGCCATCTTCAGAAGAAAATCCTATTAATGAATGTTTATGCTAAAGTAATCCTATAGCAAGCAAAACAATTTATTATTATTATTATTTATTTATTCTATTTATATCCCGCCTATCTAGCCAATTAGACCACTCTAGGCGGCTTACAACAAGGGGTAAAACAATGAATAAAAGCAGTTTTACATAAAAAGAAACATTCAACAATAAGGTGTAACACTGGAGAAAGAAAACAAAAGGGGAATCAGGGATTAACTAAGGGGGGGGGGGAAAGGCCTGCCGAAACATCAATGTTTTTAGTTGATTTTTGAAAATGAAGAAAACAAGAAGAAAATCACATACTAAATATCACTTAAAGGACCATTTTTTGTTCATAAGGATCTCCAGCCCTCATGATGGCAATTTACATTAGTCTTTCTTTCTGTAGAAAGACTGTGCACTAATGGTTTTTTCACAGATGTCCCCATAACATGAATAACCATACATAATTCCTATGGCATATAATCTTAAAATGCAGAGTTTAATGGACTCTCTTCCATGGAATATTTCCCTTAAGGCCTCAGTCTGGATCTGCTATGCTTAAAACAATGGCTGGATTTGTGCACAAATTCAGTAAGCTGCACCCTAGAGCCTCAGATTATGAGTAATATTTAAATCAAGGGTGGGCAATTAATTTATATATGGGGGCCACATGAAAAATCTGAACTGTGTTCAGGGGCCGAACCAATTTTACTTAAAAATAAAATGAAACAGTGATGTTATGATTGTTTTTATTTTAAACTTGTTAATCTTCACAAATACTAACGAGGTTTTTTGTGACATGTTAAAGATAAGCAACTGATCACCATTAGACAAAAAAGCTATAAATGGTTTTGATGTTCAAAACTGTCCACAGGCTGAACAGGAGCGGCTCGCGGGCCGTATGTGGCCCTTGGGCCGCACTTTGCCCAGGTCTGATTTAAAGTTACAAACCTACAAAAGAAAATCTGTGAGAATAATGCAAATTTGTTACAAGTCTTCTGTAATGTGACCTTGTGGCAATGCTGTCTACGGAAGTCTGTGAATCATAATGGAAAAAGGAAAATTTCCAAGCTCTGCCTCATGCCCACAAACACACAGTCCATGGGTACAGTACTAACATTTTTATCTAACCCAAAGAAAAATATACAGGAAAGAAAAGGGTGAGTGTACAGGTAAATGGGAAGTACCCACTGATATCCTGAGTGACCTTTAGTGGCCCTTGAACCTGTAGAGGAAGTCCCTGGACTGGCCAAGATTCTCAGTCCTCAGCATGCAAATATACGAAGAGAAGGCATTTGAAGAGCACCGTCTACTTCTTAATGTTAACCTTCTAAAATTTAGTACTGGAGGTGGAGCACACACATTATGGTTTGGAATCTGCTTTTAGTGTCAGGGATCAAGTCTGGAATGTGCTAGATAAGGATGATAGAGAAAGGAGGGATGTGTGTGCTCCTTTCCTTAGCAGTGAGAGACAGCAGCTAGAGATCAAAGGAATGGATGAAGGAATTGACTTTTTTATTACATAACCAAGGATATGATTTACATATAGAGTCAAGTGATCCCCATCATTCATTTTAGAAATTAAACTAGACCATAGCAAAAACTGCTACAATACCTCAGCAACGGTCACTGGACAGACTGGCTGAGGGATTCTTGAAACTCTAGCCCCCAAAAAGTAACTTTTCCAAGCTCCGAATTAAAACACAGCAGACTCAGTCGTGAAGATGAATACGAATTCTGATTTCTGTCTTAAGTACGTGTAAGCATGTTGGTGGATGCCAATAAACCATATTTGAAATGTCAGGATCATTATCCTCGCCATCACCACTTACAGCAACACTAGACAGCAAGTCTGTTTCTAGGTAGGTGGAACCTACCTAATGTGGAATCAGGTTACATAATCTACCATTACAGTATAATGATCCTGTCTGATTTTGTAAGCTAAGCAGTGCTGGGCCTAGTTAGCACCTTGATTGGACACCTCCAGGGAATGCTGTGGATCTTCAGGTACGGCCAGGAAAGAATCCAATCTGAACTTTGGATGTTCCGTGGCTGTCAAGTCAGAACTGACTTATATAGCAACCCTAATAGGGCTTTCCAGGTAAGCAAAGTACTTAAGGAATAGTCTTATCACTGCCATCCCCAGTGAATTTCCATTGTCAAATGGGAATCAAACGCAGGTCTCCTGAGTTCTAGTCTGTCATTCTATCCACTACACCACACTGGATAGTTGCTGCCAATCAGAGTGGCCAATACAGGGCTTGATGGACCAGTTGTCTGATTCAGTGTTCCTAAATCTCAGCTCTACTTCTCCTATAGGCTGTTCACACCAGTGGTGGGCAAAGCATATACTGTACAGTATATGTAGGCGCATGGGGGAAGCACTGGACTGAGATAAGTTTCTTGGTGGCACTTTCACTCTGCAACCATCTTGCCTAGTTCAGAGGATTGGTCCTCTTGTTTGGCAGATCGTGGCAGCTGGCTCAGGCAGCAGATACTGGCCAGTTTGACAGGGTGAAAATTTGTTATTTGAGTCATTAATATTATGACACTTCTGTGGGAAGAGGTGCCCTGGGGGATTTTCTGTCTTTTGTGCCAAAATAATTTGGCTGGCACCTTAATCTAGGGTAGAGGGGGGCACATGCACCTTTTCTTATCCAACTATTCTGCTTCATTCAATAATTTCTACAAGGTACTGGTAGAGATGTTATTTTCCATTTGTAATCCTGCTTTCCCCCAGAGCTTTGATTGATTGATTGATTGATTGATTGATTGATTGATTGATTGATTGATTGATTGATTGATTGATTGATTGATTGATTGATTGATTGATTGATTGGATTTCTACCCCACCCTTCTAGATGAAAGGTCTACTCTGGCCGGCAGCTATCTTTTTTCCTACAAGGAATGAATGAATCAATTGCACTGCTGGGTCATAAGCATGGAAGGGGAGGTATGCCACCCTCTAAACATAGGGACAGGAGCCCCCTTGCTCAGTCCACAGGGTGCCTGGAAACGTGCATAACACTTTTGGAGTAGTGAGAATCTGCAGTCTTCCGTCTGAAAGCAGCCATTGGGTGGAAGGGTGTGCCAACCGCTGCTCTGCCTCAGGCAGCAAAATGTCTTTGGGCTGACCATTATCCTTCAGTTGCTCAATTGGTTCTAAGTACTGTTCCTCACGGCTGGTGACTCCAGAGTTGCGCAGGCAGTGAATCCAGTCCGGGTTTGTGACTGACTTTTAGAGGAGCGAAGCCAAGGTTTAGTTTGCACTTATTTGTGGGACAGGATTCAGCAGCATGGACAGCTCCCGTAAGGTTCAGACTAAAACCTGGGGTGGATTCCCTGCTGCAGAGACAGTGGAGACCTCAGACTGCACTGCCCTCACCCTCCTCTGCTCCCACCAAAAAAAGAAAATAAAAAACCCGAAAAGCCATTAAGAAAGAACACTGAAAGATTCAATAGCTGTTTTCATCTTTTCATAGGCAGTGGTGGGAGTGAGCGGAGTGGATTAAAGTATGTTTCAGTGACTGAAGCAAAAAAAGAGGAGATTTTAGATATGCTTCGTCTATTTTTAGTTCTGTCATGAATTACTGAACACATCTGGAAGGGTGTAGAGCAGGAGGAATCTGTACCCCTCCTCTATGCCTCAGTTCTCTGCTCACCTTTCGCTGAAAGGCAGCAAAAACAGCACATATAATCAATATTAGAGTGTGAGAAATATAAAGAAGCCACTGGGTGACCGACCGCTAAACGAAGAGCGTGCCTCTGAGCCTGTGCAGAGGGCCTTTCCCTTTGCCAGGGAACAGGGGCCCAACCTTCTTCTCCCCTGCCTGGGGGGTGAAGAGCAGCAGC